AACTATAGATGGATTTGTATATTGATATTTGCTCTATTCGAACTTACTGAAAATGTAAGTACTTCAACAGACAATCTGTACAAAGAGAAATCCAAATTGCAGTGCATGCCCGTTTACAGCAAGCTGCAAGCACTATGCTAGTATGTCCGCAAGGTTCGTCATGTCATCTCATAATTTCATTTATATTCCAAAAAAAAAAAGAAAAATAAGAAAACAAGATATTCGTGTTAAATTTTTGTGGATTATTCACAAAGCCGAACACGTGCTAAAAACAATTTGATACTTTATTCAATGCAGTGCTAGACCCCGCCTCAAAGGCCCTCACGTGGAGAACTCACATTATCAGTCTTCAGAACGTTTCAGTCAGGAGTCGATGGTGCTTTCCAATTTGAATATACCAAAGAATTGTGAACCAATCATAGAAATGCCGGAGTCTCCAGTGCGAGAGGGTACACCGGACACGGACGCGGATGCACATTTTCCATTGGAATTTGAAGATCACAACGATGAGGAAAAAGAAATTCTTACGCTCAAGCTCCGTTTCATAGATAGAGAGGATGATGGGTCCAAGACCTTGATTACTTTGAGGCCTGATATGCCATCTTTTCCAAGGCCCAAGCTGAAAGATGTGAAGCGCTTGAGGACTGAGCACATAGTGTAAGTATACACTACTCCTTGTAACTGGACGTTGATGATCCCTCCATAGTTTACACGGTGTTTCATGATTAAATTGACATGGAAAAGTATAAATTTATTGCATGAAAAGTTATATTAGGGTGTGGTAAATGTGTGCGTATATATATAGTAGTTAATATATATAGTAGATTCTGAAATATCAAAAGTTATGATTTCATATGATATTTAGTTTAATCGTTAATTAGTATAGAAAGTAGAAAGTCTGAGGGATGTAATTACTGTTATTTTGTAGAGTCAGCAAATTCGTTTTATTACAAGAACTTTCGGGATTAGTGAATGAATTGTAAGATGAAATTAAACTTCAACTTGTATCTGCAGTTTTGAATCTTGTTTGGGTGTTTTTGTCATCAGAAATTATATTTCAGCTATTTTACTGCAGGTATGAGCTTCCGCCATCCCATCCTCTCTTGGCAGGGGTTAGCCTCCTCTTCTACTACCCCTTTTTCTGCATCATACACCTCGAACTGTAATTTATTTACTTCTTAAAATTTTAAATGTGTACTGCAGTTTGATAAGTTGATCCCAAATGATCGGTTTCGTTACCTTCTTGCAATATGGATGACAGGTAATCAACTACTACTTATTCAAAGTTTTACCTTGTGGTTTATTTTTTATTTTTATTTTTCCTTAACCTCTTGCATAAAAGAAGATTCATTTAATAAATGTACCAATTCTGTCATGCTTCATTCGTTAGATTCTTGGAATTTTTATATGGTTTTTTAAATTCCTATTTCTTTTTAATAAATTTTCAAAGTTTTTTTGGATTAATGGATTTTCTTTCAATTTTTATTTTTTATTTCTTTTAGATATTTTAGTTTTGTTTAGTTATGTTCTTTGGTATTTGATAAGTTATTTTTTCTTTTAAAAATTAACTTAAGAGGTTTGCCATGACATCAAACTGTTTGGGAGTCTCCCTATTTGGTTATTAGTCATTAATTTGTAATGTTTGTCCTTGATTTAGTTGTTTCTTGCGTGGAACATCTCACCTGAGCTTGATTCAGTGTTAGAAGCATAATCATCTCATACTACTTAGAATATTAATATCTTCAACTGTTATTTCTAATTTTTTGAACTGTTAACTATTCTTGGGATTTTTCACAGATGAAACCACCGGATCTTCCCAAGATCCAAGAAAAGAAAATAATCGTCAGGAATCGACGAACTCTGAACTAGATACTCCGTCAGGGCAAATCGTTAAATACCGAAATGAGTTGATGGTTCAAGGAACAATTTTGGTGAAGAATAACACATACTTTTTACGTTGTTTTTTTACAAGTTTCCTATGCTAGCTTCATTCTAGAAACTGATGCATTATCCAAACTACATATATGCAGATACCGTGCCGAACGGCTAATAGAGGATCCTTTCCACTTAATGGGACCTACTTTCAGGTCAATGAGGTGTGTCTAATACTACACTTTCTTTAACAAATTTAATTTTAATCACATAAACTACTCCCTATGTTTAGTCTTTATCTATTAAATGACAAATAATCCATTAGGTTTGAAAGAAATTGTTTTTGCAAGCAGGTGTTTGCTGACCATGATTCTAGCCTGCGACCAATTGATGTCCCCAGAGAATGGGTTTGGAATTTAAGGAGACGGCCATTGTATTGTGGGACATCCATACACTCGATTTGTAGAGGTGAGTTGTATTGTGGGACATCCATGCACTCGATTTGTAGAGGTGAATAGTATACGTTTTTCGTGTTTGCACTTGACATATGCAATCATCATCATGACCCTTGAAGTTAATCAACCAACAATATGTGCTCACTTTTCCTTGACTTGACAAGATTAGTGCATTTCAGAAACATCAAGAGTTATTGCCATATGTTGCTTAAACCTTGCAAAAAAGGAAAAAAAAAAAGTCAGAAAGATATATTATGGAAGAGAATCAAGTTGAAGATTTTAAATAGTATAAATGAACTAGTAAGATTAGTGCATTTTAGAAACATCAAGAGATATTGCCATATGTTGCTTAAAACTTACAAAAAAAATGTCAAAAAAATATAGCATGGAAGAGAATCATTTTGAAGATTTTAAATAGGATTACATAGTTGCTGATATGTTTGTAGGTAATATAGTTATTCTTGTTCATATAAGCTCAGTATTGGAAATTATCATGGGAAGTAGAAAACTCAAAGTACGAAATTCATTTATTAATTTTATCCCAAATAAACTTTATATTCGCTTCAAATTTAGTGATAGCTATAATGAATGTGATTATCGTCTGAGCTTAGTCTTTGCTCAGAGTCGACTCAACTTAATATAAAAAAAAGAAGGTCATTCTACATGCCATTTGAAAAGAGTACAATTTTGACTCACTTGCCTTGTTCTTTGTAGCAGTAATGGATAATAATTCAATAGAACAGAAGTTTATACTCTAATTTCCTAGCACTCTTTCTTTATTTTTCGTCGCTTGTTGACTCTTTATAATTTGTACCCGTTGTAACTGTAAGTTGATGACTTTTGTAATCTACACTTTTACTAAAAAGTATTTGACAGTTGGCTATGCAAATTGGATTTGATGTGATCAATCAAATTGAATATAACATCTTTGTTCTACATATTTCTGTGTTTGTAATCCAGGCATGTCGATGGAGGATATTTCTCTTCTCTTTCGTGAAGGTGAGAATTATTATTTTCATTGTTAGAAAAGACATGCTAGTGTGGTATAATGGACAATGAATCCATTAATTTGTGTGACTTAAAATTGCAGATAAATTACGAAACTATCGAGTTTCAAGTAAATTATAGAAAAATAAAGTTATTCTTCAAAATAACAAGTACTATATTGTAATTGCTAGAAACATTTTATTGGACAAATTAAATGTGTATAGTTGTCATAATATAATTCAATTAAGGCGATCTACTAATTTGTAATTCTGAATAAAGAGAGTATCAAATTGTTATGGATTTAAAAGTGTAGATACCATTATGGGATTTTCTGTTTGTTGAGGGACCGAACTGAAAATCAATAATCCTTATTTATTTGGTTAAGACCCGAAACGACGAAAGGTACGAGCAGATTTTCGAGGAGGTGCTAGACATCCTTTCAAAGTTATTGGGTTATTTTGTAATTATGTAGACTTTTAAGTCTTTCTTTTGCAGCTTAACCTACTTTGGAGGGTCTTTATAAATGTTTTTGTTTTGAAGAAAATTAATTTACCTGAGTCAAGTGAAATTGATCTCTTTATAATTTGTCAGGTTATGTATGCATTAGAGGGATGGACAGAAAGACAACAGGACCAAGACCACTTCAAAAAAGATTCCATTTTTGCAAAACAAGGCCAGTCAATTATTGGGAAAATTTATAGAATTAACCAGTTTGCCTTTGATCTTTGCTAATTATAAGTTCATGTGAATGAATCACTCACTAACCATATCTATACAGTAAGTTCTTTCCAGCCAACCGTGTGTCGAGTAAGTTTGATTTTACTCGTGGACAGAACTATCCCGACCCGTTTGGTGGAGTGATCGAACGGTATACACAAATAGGGAGGAAGTCGCATGATTGGCGTATAGTGTAATTATTGAGCATTGATAGAATGGTAAATGTAAATTTGTTAGGATATTTTTTATTTATTTAAAGAATTTACTAAATCTTTGATGGTAAGGGACTGATAAAAGGAAAAAGGTAATAAGCTGTCTCTTGAAAAATAATTGATATCAAGTTATAATTTATAAATTATTTTACAGAAAGTGGAGTCATTTTTTTATTTTATTTTTTATTTTTTTAGCTCAATGTGTGACCATATATCATTGTTGATAGAAAAAATTACCTTGCCTGCAATTCTTTTAAACTCTATTTGCAAGTTTATCAAAATGTACATACATATGCAAATGTACACAAGTTAATTAAATCTTATTTCATAATTTGGATATTGACAAAGTATTTTGAGTGGCTGCAAATCATGTTGGCTCACCAATTAAATAATAATAATAATAATAATAATAATAATAATAATAATAATAATAATAATAATAATAATAATAATAATAATAATAATGCATGCGGAGAAGCGAAGATATGTCAAAATATCATGCGGATTATGGAGGTGGTACTCTGAGCTGAGGGAGTTTAGAGGTTTAGGCGTAGTAAGGATAAACCTCATAGGATCTACAAGTTCTTGCCGAAAAAATAAAATAGATTGAAAATACAAAAATAATTAAAAAAATTACAATTTAGTAAAAATATATAAGGTAGTCGAACGTCAAAACCACAAAAGATTTGATTTTTTTTTTCCGCAAAACGATAGATACTATAGCTCAAGAAAAAGTAGAAAGGTACAGGGGCTAAGGAGTCTCGTACATCCAACACAAGGAAGGAAACGGATAAATCATAACACAACACAAAACACATAAAAGCTAAAAAATCTCATTAATGAGGAATACACACTCCCAACCGAGAGAATTCACACTCTTAATGAGGAGAAGAAAACAGTAACGCACACTAACAATACTAACAAACACACGACAATACTAAACCTAAAATAAAACAAAGACAACAACCCGCCCCATCGGACGAAACACACACACCACCACATCCCGAGCCAACACCCAACACGAACTACCATGAGAACCACCAGATCAATAGCCCAAACAACGGATCAAAAAACTCCCATAATGGGCTAACGAGATCCGGATTACAGACCCGTCCGCCACTTCTAGTTAGGGCTGAGCACGGGTCGGTTCGGTTCGGAGATCCAGGAACCGAACCGAAATTTGGAGATTTCAAAAAATGGATCCCCAGAACCGAATCGTTTCTAATGAATCTCCGGACCGAACCGAACCGAAATTCGGTTCGGTTCGGTTCGGAGATTCGGTTCTAATGGGTCGGTTCGGTACGGATCAGAGATTTTGGAGATTTCGGAGTTTTTTTTTTTTTTTTAATTTATTTATTTATCTATTTATTTTATTTATTTATTTTTTTTTATAAAATCTTCTAATTGCATGTTAGATGGTGCATATCATGGATGAAAGAAAATCATAAACCTATCTTAATTTCAAAAGATATTTCGCCAATTAATAGTAAGAATAGGTGGTTGAAATCTTTTTTATTTTATTAAAAGTGATAATTATCTTTTAGTTGCAAAATATCATAATTTAATTTGAAAGATTTATATGCTAAACGTTTATATGCCAAAGAATTCGTAAGTGATAAGACTACATGAACAATAGTTCATTTAAAGATAGTTACTTGTTAAATAAAAGGATATTTTAAAAATATATTATGTCTAAATAAATTGATCTCTTCCGGCTGATATCGTGACATTCAGATATAGTACATATAAAGTTTATTTTTGAAAAGTGAAGATATTTATTTTAATTAATAAAATAATCGAT